CCCCGCAGCCTCCCCCCGGGCCCGGCAGGAGGAGGACGGGGAAGCAGCAGCGGCCCGTGGGATAGGCCGAGCGCCGCCGCCTCCCCCGGGGCGAGGGGCCCCCGCCCGCACCGAGCCGCCCCCCGCCGGGACTGGCCTGAGGCCCCCCCCGCCCGCCCCCGGAGAGCGCGCGAGGAGCCGCCGCTGCCCCCGCCGAGGGGCCGGGGCCCCCGGGCCGGGCCGGGCCCCCGCCGCGCCCGGGCTGGATGAATGTGGGGCAAGATGGAGACCAAGACGATCGTGTACGACCTGGACACCTCCGGGGGGCTGATGGAGGTGAGCCGCCGCCGCGCCGGGGAAATGGCGGGGGCCGCTGGGGGGCCGGGCCCCCCCTCGGGGCCGGGCTGACGGGAGCCCCCGCGGCCCATACAAGGAAGCGCGGAGGGACGGAGCCGGCCCCGGGAGGAGCCGCGGGGGCTCGGGCGGGGTGGGGGCCGCGTCCCCGGGCCGGCAGGGTTCGGCCCAGCCCCTCACCGCCCCTCTGTTTGTGTGTGCAGCAAATCCAAGCCCTGCTGGCCCCGCCGAAGAGCGAGGACGGCGAGAAGAAGGGCCGGCGGCCCGAGAAGGAGGCCCGGCGCAGTGGCCGGGCCACGAACCATGATAGCTGCGATAGCTGCAAGGAAGGAGGGGATCTGCTGTGCTGCGATCACTGCCCGGCCGCTTTCCACCTCCAGTGCTGGTAAGGCCCGGGGCCCGCCCGGCGCTCGCCGGAGTCCTGCCCGTTAGCTCGGCGCATTGTGTGCGCGAACAAACCCCCGCTAGGGCTGCTCCCGCGAGCGAGCGCCCGCTCCTCCGGGGCAGCCGAGGTGAAAAGCCCCCGAGCCCCCTTTCCGTGGGGCGCAGCGGCTCGCTCTGGCGCCTGGGGGTGGGCAGGCGGCTCCTCTTTCCTTTTTGTGTGAAGTGTGGAGAGGCTAGAGGAGGAGCTGTGCTGGCCGCCTGCGCTTCGCATCGCCTTTATTGCAGGCGCCCGGGGGTTCAGCCTTGAAGTTTCTCTTCTTCCCGCTCCATCTTCGGGGCTGCCTTGCTCGGGGGATCCCTTGGGGGCTGCGATGGGTGGGAAGTCGCCTTTGCGTCTCTTGGACTGGCCTGACGTTGCTGAGCGCCTCGGTGGTGCTGCTGCAGCTGCTGGGAATAATGGAGGTTGCTGTCTCTGTGTCTCTCCCTGCCTCACTGTTTACAATATGGCGACCTTCCTTTAAATTATATTTTTATTCTCAGCGCCATTTTGGCTGCATATAGCACTTCCAAACCCTGGCACCGTTACTGTAGTATTTTGAATACAGAAGTATCTTCCCAGCGTTGATCCAGAACTCTGAACTTGAAAATTGACCCCTCCTTATTCCCTTTTCCTTCCTCCTGTCCTTTAGACCTGCCTGTTCCATCTTGTAGGAGTGACCAATACGAATTCAGGGACAGCTTGCCTGTAGTTTTGTGCTCTTGTTGCTAATCCTCGGTGGTGGTTTAGAAATGTGTGCTTTAGAGCATAGTGGCTGCTGTGAGGGGGGGACTGACTGGACCTTCGGTGCATTACCTGGAAGCCTCCCAAGCTAGTAACAAAAAGCAAACTAGCAAAGTCAGGAGATGTCTGAACTTCGGTTTCTGCCCTGAGAAGTTATTTTTTGCTTCTGTGTGAGGAGCCCAAATGCATCGAAAGCGAATTTGCGTATATCTGTTCAGCAATTGACTCAGGCTCATGTGAAATTCAGACAGCCAAAGTGAATAATGGGATGGGGGAGGGAGCAGGGCAAGTCAGAGCAATGAAGTTCTGGCAAATCGGTATTCTTCCTTGGAGAGAGATTTTTTTAACCACATTCCTTATTGTCTTTCATGCCTCGGATATTTGTTTGACTCGGCTACAGTTGTCTCCTTGTGACTTTAGCTGAATGGTTGTATTTTTTATATGCTAATTGCAGGTCTTAGGGCGCTTATTACAGTGATTACTGATACTGGGGAAATTAACCGTCTGGTCAGAATTCTGTAGGGAGTACCCTCTTACCATTCTATAGACCTGTATACCCAAGACAGGAAGCTCCATTTTTATAATCCATGATACCATCATTTCTACCTGGAAGAAGTTCCCCTGGTAGTTTTATTATATAGAGCACTTAAAATCTGCTGGAGAACATTGTTTTTTTGTTTTTTTTTTTTTTTTGGTTTAATCTGTTTAGTAATTAGACAAGGTGGGGGAGGTAATCTTTTATTGGGCCAACTTCACTTGGTGAAAGAGACAAACTTGGATGCTTACACAGAAGCTCTCCTTCACATAGCTGTCCTTTTAGGACAGGATTGTTTTATAATGTACGGCTGAGTAATTCAGCGCAAACAAATTAATGTTGTACGTTAGGATGTTGTTGATATAAGCTGAACCTGGTAAAGTCGAATTAAGTGCCTAAAATGTTACGCCTCCGTACAGTTTTGAGTCTCATTTGTTGAAGCAGGATAGCTGCTAGAAACCTTGAGAATTTTGGGGAGGGAAATGATGCACACACAGTTTCTCACTTAACTTAAAACCTGGTCTCTTGATCTTAAGTCAATATCCACTTTCTAGTCATGGAGATATTAGCTATGCATATAAGTCATGGTGACTTCAATGAGACTGCTCTCTAGGGTAAGGGGTTTGTAAGGTTAACCCTGCAATTTATGCAGCCACCGTATTCAAATAATTTTCGGCTTAAATTTGCTTTAACAGGCTTTTTCTTCAGCAGAAGTAAAGGATGGGCTGCTTTCTGTTTTCCTGTTCTCATTTCCAAAGCCTTGCATACCATTTTGTAAACGCATGCAAATGAGACAAGTTGCCTCAAAGGAACACTTGGGTTTTGTCTTTACCTCATACATCTTGCTTAAAGTAAACTTCCATTCCATTGGGCATGAATGCAGTACATGAATTTCCGTTATTCTGCAATGTTTCAATAATGCTTGCTTTAAGTACATTTAAATAGTGACTATAAACTTAAATATACCAATCTATGGCCAACTTGTGAATTCTGCTAACTGTTTGAGGCATCTTCCAGGTATTTCCCTCAATATCATTTTCACTGTTCTAAAAGTTTCTCTTGTGACAATGAGGAAAACAATACGACAATACCTAGTTTTTATTTAGAACGCTTCAACAGTACACCCTGAAGCACTTCACCAAGGAGGTCAGTACCATCTGTAAAAGATAAGGCGTGGAAGTGACTTGCCCACCGTGGAAGTGGCATAGCCAAGAATTGAATCTGTCACCCTAATCCCAGTCCAGTGCGCTATCCACTAGGTGACACTGCCTCCCCCATATACAGTTCTTATAACTTGCTTGCTACATTAGGTAAATACGTGTATATCTCTAAAGCAACAATCTGCATGTTTTAACTTAAAAAGGAAACAACCCAAAATGATGCAGTGTGGTTCTCTGCTTCCATAGTCCATGTTAGTCTGGTGGGTGAGTTCTTACCCATGTTTATTGAAATTCATTCTGTAATCTATTGTGTGCACTTTGAAGATATGTTCCAGAAAGCAAGTCTTGAAATATAATCCAGGCAGGTATTGTGGTTCCATTTTTGGTTTGGTTTAGTGTCAGGGTGTTCACGGGAGTACTCAAGAAGATCTGGTCTTCTTTCCTGAAAGTCCTTTGTTTTGTTCTTAAACATACCTTGACTTCTACAGTATTTCCACATATTTGGAAGCCAGCTGAAAAAAGATGATAGCTTTGAATATTTCCAGGTCTAATTACAGTATATTTACCTGCCAAAAAGAGCAGTTTTACCAAGTTCTTTGTAGTTATGAGTGGGTTGTCAGCCCCAGAATGACTTCATGTGGATGGAACAGATTTCTGATTCATCTATTATGAATTTGACCACTCTTGTAATCTTGTCCAAGAAAGATTATAGCTTGGGGAAAAAACAAATAGATTTTATTTTCTTTGCTTACATCAGATTTCATCAGCGTTGTTGCAAATAATTTAGATGGGGTAATAGTTATAGAAAATTTTGTAGTGCCCTTTTCGCTAGATTACCTATGATGCTGCGTCTGCTATATTCAAATATGTTGACTTCAGATTTAAATTTTGCATAGAATGCTTTTTCCACTTATCAGCTTTTTCCAAAGAAGCTTTATTGGTTTTTAGCTTTTAAAGCTCTGGTTTTGGTTATGAAGCTTGCATATTAATTTGTCACTCACTAATGTGATTTCAATAACTTGCATTCATAGTACAGTTCTAGAAGTAATGCAGTAGAGTCTTTACTTGAATTTTATCTGACAATTCGATTCCAAGGGGGCTTTTGAGCTGGGATAAACTATTTAAAAATTATCCAAAAGCAGTTTTCTTGTTTAGTAACTTTCTGTACTTTTCTCTTACCCCCTTGTTCTAGATAACGTGTAGCTATTGTATTGTGATGTCAAAAATTCCATATGGCTTTTCTGAAGGATTAAGCAGAAAGTGATTGAGAGGAAAAGCGCAGGTTTAAAATAGATAACTAGTAAAAATGGCAATAGAAGTTACAAAACAAAGCAAGTGAACTGACTTTTTAAAGCAGTGCTATTAAATTTTCCTAGTGTGAAAGGTGCTCTCAAATTACTGACCCATAACATTCGGTTACAATTGCTTGTTTGTCTGGCTCCTGAGTACAAGGGTGTTAGTATACTGAAGCAACTTAAATTGTCTGAAATTAATCAACTTCCTTTTGAAGTGAATATGGCTCTTTACATGACAACACTGACATACCAAAATTGTGAATCTCTTGTGCCACCTCCCAAGATTTCCCTTAATAGTTGACTCTTGTTCTGAACCAGATGAATTTTGTGGCTGTCACAGGGTAAGAGCACTGCATTGAGCACTGTCTGCTAGTTCCATCAAACATTTTTGCAACACTTGCCTCCCCGTGTTTACATTTGGAGTGTTTGGCTCCGTTTCTCCTTTCTGATTTGGCAGTCCTCTGGCATGCTGTTGTTGAAGAATTGGAGTAACAGAGCTTGCTAAGAGAGGCAGATGAAGCTAAACTAGCCTAGTTTTGCATATTTTAGTTTCTGAGTCACATCAGTTGACAGTTTTCCATTCTACATGTGAAATCTTTATGTTCAACTGCTACAACATGAATAACTTTCTGTACCTTATTCAGATTTAGAATTATCTTGGCCTATCGCAAGCTAGCATTCAATTTAGTTAATTTAGGAGTTAATTTTGACTTTTCACTTTTGTGTCCGATTCCTCCCCTTCTCTCTCTCTTTTTGACTGAAAAAAATCTTTGAGGCATCTAGATTCTGAGCTGCTGCCTTAATTTCAGTGATTTTGTCTTTTAATGGCCATAAAAATAGGTGCTCTGGACATCTTGCCATAAGATAACTAACTCTCAGCTAGGTAATAGTGAATTGGACAAAGTTTAAATTCATTAATTTACATGTAGTGTTGAAGTGTAACTTCATACTGAAATTACTAATAACTTTAAAAAGGCTTGCACATTGGCTCTTTGTAGGTTTAAATGAACTTAGTAAACATTCAAACTTAAATGTTATCAAAACTAGATCCTCCTTTTATGTGAACAGTGTACTGGCAAAATCCATCCTTTAAAAGGTCCTTGAAGTAAGCCTGGAATACAGAGACTTGGACTTAATTTAAGCTTCTTTTTGAGCTCATAACCGTTAGAAGAGACCATATTATTTTAAAGTTATGTAAGAAAACAATTCATGCTATTTTATCTTTGTTAA